CAGGAACTGGGTGATGTATAACACGAGATTCATTACAAATTCACAGATGAAGAAGTCGTCATTGTTGCAGAAACTGATTTTTTTTAAAGCCCTTTGATTCTATATTTCCATTCAATTTTGCATTTCCCACGTAGATATGCACAGGATGAGACTCTGTTCCAGTGGTAATTGCTAGATTTTGTGGCATGGCACACCACCAGCAGCCCCTACCTAATTACAACCTTGCCTCTCCCCAAGGACACCCTTCTCATTTTCGGGGTTATCTTTGGAGTCGCACCTGTCAGAAAATGGCCTCGTATACGGTACCGGGTCAGTGTGTCCACGAATTTCACATACATACTTTTTTGTATTCAAGGAGAATCACATAGAATTCTTCAAGTTATACAACCAAAAACCTGTCCCAAGCTAACCTGGGCTAGTGGGTCTTTGCTGATAGGATCACCCACAACAGTTTTACTAATTAAAAAAACAAACAAACGAAACCTGAAGATGAGCTTTATAATGGAGACCTTTTGTCTTCGGACTGAATCAACAGAAAGATTCATCTGAGAGGCTGGGGGCAGGTAGATCATTTAATCATAGCACTGGACTCTCTCACATCTCCCTCCGCATCTCATGTGTCCTTTACCCATACAGGCGATTACATGACTTTGAGCAAAGTATGTAATTACTCCGGGCCTCCACATCTACCTCAGAAAATGTCTCTCATTGAGGATCCACCTTGTAAAATGTTTATGAGGATTTAATGAGATAATTCATGCACGGTACTTAAAACAGTGCTGAGCATATTGTAACCTCAACATTACTTTTGCTCTAAAGGTTGTTGCCTCCTTGAGAAAAAAGAGGCTCTCATAGCCTGCACTAGTTCACAATATTAAGTAAGCAGATGTACTGGGCGCCTGGGTGGCTCAGTTGGTTAAGCGACTGCCTTCGGCTCAGGTCATGATCCCGGAGTCCCGGGATCGAGTCCCGCATCCGGATCCCTGCTCGGCGGGGGGTCTGCTTCCCCCTCTGCCCTCTTCCCTCTCGTGCTCTCTGTCTCTCATTCTCTCTCTCTCTCTCAAATAAATAAATAAAATCTTTAAAAAAAAAAAAAGTAAGCAGATGTACTAATATACTGCGGTGATGGAGGAAAAAAAAAAGTCATACCTTAAGGCCCCTTAAAGGATTCGTTGAAGAAAGCAGATTGATGAAAATAGGAAAGACAAGGAAGTTAGAAGACAAGAACTCTTTCTGGATAACTAACTCATTGTATGACCTAGAGCAATCTTCTTATTACCTTTTTTCCATCTTAAAATTAAGGTTAAAAAAATTTTTCTACCGCAAAGGTTTCTTGGAAAGATTTACTGAGATAAGCCAAATATCTATATTTGATTCACAGTACAGACGAACTATGTTCTTGGTACTGGGCATGAATTTATTTTCACAAACATTAATCAACACTCAGAGAACAGAAACAACACTTAGGGCAGGATTACTCACAGGATTTTCTGGCTACTCACTCTCCCAGATATTAAAATACCTGTTCTTAGACCAAGCCAGATCATCAGAGAAATATATACCTAAAATAATCCAACAGTTCCTCCGAGAGAAAACTCATTATCAAATTACATTACCGTGTGAGGCCAGCAGACCATATTGATGATCCTCACAAGAATAAGCTCTATAAACCTCATTATTTGCATAACACAGAGGTTGCCAAAGACATTTTTCATTACCTCTACAGTGAGTTCTTTATAAGATCCTCCAGGAGAAATCTCAGCCTGACTTTAGAACTAAAAATGGTAGTATTTGTCTCCTGAGTATTGGAAGCAGAAGCAAATACAGATTTACTGTTAAGAGTCAGTGGAACAGGCCAAGAATGTATTCCTGCATTCATTCAAAAATATTTATTGAACACCTACCATGTGCCAGACTCCCCACTAGGATCTAGAAATGCTAAAGAAGACAGGAAATGTCTCTGCCTTCACAGACCTAGAGACCAGTGGGAATGGAAAGTTGATTAAATGAGCAACTACAATACAAAGAGATGATATAAAATGAATCAGAAATAGGTCCTGGGCAACTATGTAAGATCTATCACATCCTTAGGTAGACAGGGAGCCTGAAATAAATCTAAGCTTGGACCAAAAGAAGAATAAGAGGATCCTAGAGGAAAATACACACTTCTGTGGAAATTGGGAGAGGAAAGACATGTCAGGAAAAGCCTAAAAATAGGTGGATAGAGATAGATACCTAGAACCTAAGACTGTCTATGTATCTCCTGCCCTGACCAGAACTGATCTGTTTATGTACTTTACATCAATATAATAGCCTACATGGGTAGAATTATATTGTGTAGAGCATTCATAACTATATTTAAATTATGTCATAGACTCCTGAGGAAATTGGCTTGATTTTATGTCTCTCAATAACTACATAGGAGAAGGTATCAAAGAAAACACAAAGAAAGATTTAGTATTGTTTGACATATAATCTTAGGTAACTCATCACACTGGAGAGTCATATTGATACAACCTTGTTGGTTTCTTTCCATCACCACTTACGTCTGAAATGAGAGAAGAACACCAAGATATATGGGGATTATAAACCCCTCCTTCAAATTGAGTGCAACTGCCCTTTTTATCCCCACAAATGCTGGATATTCAGGGCTGCCTAGGTGGCTCAGTCGGCTAAGCGTCTGACTCTATTTTGACTCAGGTCATGATCTCAGGGTCATGGGATCGAGTCTCGTGTCGGGCTCCACGCTCAGTGGGAGTTTGCTTGAGATTCTCTCTCTCCATCCCCCTCTGCCCCTCACCTCATCTCTCTATCTCATTCTCTCTAAAATAAATAAATAAATATTTTTTTTTTAAATGCTGGATATTCAGAGCACAGAATAAATACATACAAGGAATCCCAATATTGAAAAGTTTAACTGAGCAATCAAGAGACCAGGGCTTTACATCTGGTTGTGTCATGTAAAGACATGATATGTGAGGCTTGGAGGCTATGTGAGTAACTCAGTAAACTTGGTACCTCACATTTGTAGTGTAGTAACAAAAATAGACAATATTTATTGAAGATCTACTGTGCGACAATCACTCATTCCATGTGTTTTTCAGGTACTAACTAACAACAACCTCATGAGGTAGGTATTATTGTCCTTTTACAGCTGAGGAAACTGAGGCATTCAGAGATACTGTAACATTTCTGGGTCACATGGTTGGTAAGTTCCTACCCACTACTTTATTCTCCTGATGTCCATCCGAGAGCGCCCCAGAGAACTACCGTATTGGAGTACCATGCCTCAAGATCTATTCAAGAATTCACCTTCCCTGCCCAGGGGCCTTTATGACATGATAGTGAATGGCAGTATACGGTAATAAGAGTGACCCTATGCTACGCCCTGCTTTGTCCAGGACAGACTTGGTGGATGCCTGTTATCTCAATGCTCACCAATATCTTCTTTTATTCCAGGGTGTTTTTCCACTTTGGATGATAAGTTATACAGTCACCTAAGCCCAGTGGTTAACAGCTTAAGTTCTGCAGTTTGCTGGGTGTATGTTTGAAACTCAACTTAGCCGTGGAAATTGAGGCCAATTATTTTAGCTAAATAAGTCTCAATTTGCACACCTACTGAATGGAAATAATAATGGTCCCTACCTTATAGCTCAGTTGTGAGAAACATAGGGTCAAGGCATTTATCAACTGTATGAATCAATTAGTATAATGCCTAGCAAATAGTGAGCACCCAAGAAAAGTGACTTTTTACCAACCTTTTATTAAATGTTTGAGAGGTTATCTCATATCAGCATAATCATGGTGGACTATTTTGTGAAGTTGAGACATCAAAACATACCTGTGAATCTGAAGCACTTAGACATGGACCAGGATAAGTAAGGAATGCCAAGTCTTTCTAAGTAAATCACTGGTACTTCTAGAAGTACCCATTTTAAGACTAAATTATAATCCTAAAGCCATTGGAAATACAGTTTAGTTCTTGGCCACTCCCAAGAATTTTAATCCTTTCCAATCTGGACTCCATAAAATGCTAAATTTTATGATGACAAAAAGTAAGAAATATTCTTTGATCTTATAATCCCCTTGTGGTCCTTTCTAGCCTGTTGGGCCAGCCTTGATTCATACCAGCAAATTCTGGGATTATTCTGCTTTCAAACACGAGCCACTGACCCACCCTACTTTGTATTCAAAGCCTGGAACAGCCTCAAGACTCAGAGAATATCCTTCATATGGCATGAGCATGGCCACAGACCAGCCCCTTTGCTTGCCACTAAAGTGACTGGTTACATACCCCAGAGCCTGCCGAAATATTTGTCACGTGACAGAGTCTTAGCAATCAGGCTCAATAAATTATAGTCATGGGCTTGAAGAAACCATATAGCTAGTTAGTATATACCGAACAAATTCCCTATTTTCACTTCATTTTCTTTGTAAAATAAGGGGGTTAAATCCATTGTAAAAGAACCAAATGGTCAAATCTAACATGGTCTGGCTCCGGGCCTTTTAAAAAGATTCCATCTGCTGAAGAAAGATAACCTCCTCTCCCCTTCACTTTTTGGATGGGAGATCCCCTTCACTTTTTTAAAAACTCCTAAGGAATGAAATTCTACTTACTTCCACAGTAACCTCTCTAATAATATGCCTGACTGTCAGCAAGTTCTTTGCCTCCACCCCGCTTCCTCTTCTCATCATGCAAATTGCCACTGGCTTTAATTAGATTTAATAAGCCACTGGGAAGTGCAGTGAGGGAAAAGGAGAGCAAAGATTACACAGTGTGGGCTTACCCTTGCATGTTGAGTACAGCGTTTCCCTGGAACGCTCATATCCTACCAAAGTTGGGAAATAAAGAATGCCAAACGTATGGAAAGACATGCTGCTGCTGTCCAAATGTGAGACGTGGGTGGAGAAAATCATTTCGAAAAAGAGAGTGAGGGAAAAGAGAAAAATCAACCCGAATCCCCAACAGCTGCAAATCACGAAGCACGTGAAGCTGTTACCTTGGATGAACTCTGATTTCCTGCTCACAGACGGCAGGGTCCTGTTGAGCCCAAGGATCCTGTCCAGGTGGAAGGCAAACACCTCGCTCATGTCCAAAGGCTGCTTGAGTAGTCCACAGGGGCTGGGGCCACAGCCGGGCACAGAGCCAGCGGCGCTCCCCTCTAGCACCAGCAAGCGCGCTCCGCTTTTGGAGGACACGGCCTGAAGACCTGCCACTGCACCATCCGCCAACAGGCGCATTCGGAGGATGTCTTCTTTGCTCAGCCACGAGGGGGCGCTCTCACTGTAGATCCTGATGTTGCTCTCCTGGGTCTTGCGCCGCTGAAAATCTGAGCCCGCCACGTGCACTTCTGAGCCCCGTATCAGCCTCCAGGGTCTTTCCCCAGCCTTGGCCAGATTTGCTCCCTGGACGTACCCAGGCACTTCAGCATCAGCTGCCCTTGAACCATCCTGTGGCTGAAGGGATGGTCCGACCAAAGCCTCCTGTCCCAGGGCTGGCGATGCCACTGCATACTTCTTCCTGCGCTTGGGTTTCACGGTGCCACGGATATTGGCAGGCTTGCTGCGCTTGGAGCGTAGGGTAATGTACACCACATTGAGCTGCAGCGTGGTCCCATTGCCCTGAGACTCTGGAGGGGCCAGGGTACCATCCAAGGGTATCTCAGGGAAGGGTGCCTCGGCGGTGTCGTGGCTCTGGTGTGGCCCCTTTTCTGCTGCCCTTCCTTGCTGGAGAGAGGCACGTCCCACCTGGCTCACCAGAAAGCCCAGGTAGATGGCGCAGGCAGTGCCCAGCAGGAGGTTCCTCCGGGTCCTTGGGCGCCGGCTGCTCCAGAGTTTACGCACCCGCGGGACGCACAGGGAGCAGATGAACCAGTTTATGAGCTGCCCTGGCTTGTCTGGACAGGTCATTTCTCTGCTGCATCCACATGTTGAACAGAGTTTAAAGTCTGCAGTTGGTTCCTGCTGACATGATGCATGGCTTCCTGAATTCAGCTGTTGCCTCCGCTTAGGTATATAAGTGGTCTCCCGTGGGTAGAGTAGAGGTGGAAGTAAAGGGTTGGTGATGAAGTTGGGAATGTTTCTGACACTCGCCACAACAAATCTTTTAAACTCCTATCGGCCTCCCCAAGGAGAAGTGTGGCTTGTTTCTGGGAATGAATGGAAACAGAGTTAACTGAGTCACAGTCTCAAACGAGTTCAGTTCCTCTTCAAGAGTAAAGGAAAAAAGTAACCCTTTCCTTTCATAAATATCACCACCATAAAATTTTTTTTAAATAAAGTTTTAAAAAGAGTAACAGGACAGACGTATAGATTCGATATTCAGTTTAAATTAGTGAAAACAAGCCACGAAAATCCAAGAATATTTTATAACTTGTGGCTAGAGTCATTTAATTTGATTCTGAAAGAAAAGTATTAAAATTTGACAAACCCTTTTTGAAATCTAGAAATAATTTCAGACAAGGGAGAGATGGTTTTTAAGAACAATCTATAGCCATCCCGTGTTTATTTTTTAAAGTCCTGCATTACAAATTGGGCAGAAGCACCAAATATTAACATTCAAATTCAGAAACATATTCTCTTAATCTGATGGTACAATTTTTTCTTCATTCTATGTTTCATCATCCCTAATGAAGAATGATTTCAATATAAAGCCATAAATGTCCATATATCTCAGAAGAAGTTATGTTTATTCAGTCACACACACACTCACACACATAAACACAAAACACAAATCCGATTGCTTTTCATTTCTTTTCTTCACACAAAAGTCAGCTGAAAGAAAATAAAGGGATCTCTAGCTCTATTTTTTTCACATTATTAAAAAGAAGAACTCATAAGCAACCTTACTTACACAGCTGGCCCCATGCTTGGCTCCAGGAAGAATGTAATCCCTGACTGTAATGCAAAGAACTTTTAAAGGCTGAGGCATGTAAGTAGAACATATTTCATGGTCAAGAGTGTTCCACATTTCAAATAGCTCAGCTTTAAAAGCTCCCTTGAAAACTCCTGATTGCAAAGCAAAACGGTTACTTGTCAACTGGCCGCTGGTATCCCAGTTTAAGACGCGTTAGGTTTTTTTGTTTTTAATTGTCTAAAAAATAAACTTTAATTTTAAGATCTGAAAAAACAAAAGCCAAAGCCGTACAGAAGCAGTTTTCATTCAAATCATTTTCCACTTATTTTTAACCCCTGGGAGCCCTCTAGTGTCCTGTTTGGAAACAGACTCAGAAATGTCAGTCTCATGGAGTTTAAAAGGATTGAGAGTGTTTGCTTAGAGGCAGCAGGATAAATACCTTATAAAATGAGGAATGCCGGAACCCTGCTGTCCATCCCGTGTAGCTGGGGATTAGAGCACCAAGGTTCCCAGGGACTACGACTCACCTTACTGTCTTGACTGTTTACAGAGTAATATTTGTCCCCCACCTCTTCTGAGAAGGCCTAGAGGGTCGTAAAAAGGTAAGAAAGAGTTAACTTAAAAGAGGAAAAAAATAGAACGGTGAGATAAGAGTGCACACAGATAGGGGAAGACATTTACAGTGTGCTCTTGCATGGTGCAACGACTCACAAAAAGAAGTCATGGATTCTCTCTGATTGGAGGTTGTTTTAGAACAGGTTAGTAATTGGCTTGGGGAGTTTACATGTCCTGGCACAACGGCAGGGTTGATGACCTCTGGGTCTCATTTAAGCTCATTCTTTTTGCTTCGAAGGCAAATAGAATCAGAAGGTAGGACGGTGACAGGGATTGTTTGCCCCATTGGAAAAGAAGTTTGTGATATTGGGGGGCGGGTAGGAGATTAGCGTATGGTGTATAATCCTAAAAATACTGTATTTTACAATGCAAAAAAAGATCAAGGGACTGAAACGTAGAGAGAAGGAACGAATAAACTTCCAAGTGAAAAATGCCAAAAAATTATAATACAACTGTTATTTTAGCACTCGAACTCAGACCTGTCTTCTTTTTTAAAAGTTCTGCCACATGGAGAAAGGAGAGGAACAATTCCAATATTGACAATAGTCTAGAAGTACCTGTGGATTTTGGCTAAACTTCATGAGACTTCAAGCATTTTTCCAAAAGCATTCTTCTTTGTGTTCCAAAACTCTTAAACTCATAAGCACAGAATTATTTTCTAGGTAGTAAATGTTCACTTTTTGAAAGGAAACCATGACAGAGTTGTTTTATTATAACGATATTAGGGGCGTCTGGGTGGCTCAGTCGGTTAAGTGTCTGCCTTCGGCTCAGGTCATGATCCCAGGGTCCTGGGATCAAGCCCCCACATAGGGCTCCCTGCTCAGCAGGGAGTCTGCTTCTCCCTCTGCCCCTCCCTCCACTCGTGCTCTCTCTCACTCACTTTCTCTCTCTCAAATAAATGAATAAAATCTTTTAAAAAATATATATTATAATGATATTATTCTTTTCACATATCAAGAAGAATAACTGACCTGACTCTAAAAATTAAAAGTACATCTTAAATTAAAAGCAGAAGCCAGGTTATAACAAGCAGAAGCCTCTGCTGGCTGTTTCTAAAGCAACTTCTTTAGAAGAAATGTTTTGGAAATTGATGAGTGATGTGTGAGTTGGCAAATTTGCTTGACTGCCCCTCACCCCAGTGAAGGTCTCTTTATTAGAAGACCAGCACATTGCCTCTTCTCACAGCTGCAAGAGGGATTAGTAGAGGCTAAAGGGTAGGATATTTAGAGAATGGGCTCCAGAGGGAGAAAGCCTGGCTCCTAATCCTCCTTTGCTTTCTAGCTGTGGTCCCTTGTGACAAGTAGCCTTACCTCTCTAGCCTCAGTTTCCCTCTCTAAGAGACAACTAATAATAGCACTTACCCCATCAGTTTCTTGTGATGGTTAAATGAGATAGCGGTGACAGAATGATAATTTGAAAGATTAGTCAATATTTTTTATTCCCCGAGCACCTTATTGAACTTCTCAGAGGCCTTTCTCCCAGCCCAGGCAGCTTGACAGGGCATCATCACTGCATCAAAGGGAAACTATCATCATATAATTAGGAACACGCTCATTGAATTATTGGTGTAGTCAATATATGGATATAACCAACACAGTGGACAAGAATAAATAAACCTAAATTCCTTGAATGAGTGATGGCTTGAAAGTTTGTTGTCACGATATGACATTCACATATAACATGTGAGCACACATATAATACTCCAAATATTTGATGTTGGTATTAATATTTGATCAGAGAGATCAAATCCTCATACCTAAAGTGCTTTCTCTCCATTAAAAAAAAAAAAATCCACGAGGAAAACAAAGCGGGAAGGTAGACAATAAAACAATGATATGGCTCATTAAAATTGTATGGTGACTAACATAAAAAGAAATAAAAGTAAATAAAAAGCAAATAAAAGAAATTTGAAAATTTTGACTATTTGGATCAAACATTTTGATTAGTTTTTGTGCAAACTGTGTGTGTGTGTGACTAAAATGAGTGGAGGCATTTTAAAAATTCTAAGTATGAGGGGAAAATCATGTGTGGGTTTTTATCCAAGGGAGTTGGAAAGTGTTACTAGGCCACAGAGCAGGTTTGAATAGGCAGTGGGGAGAATAATGAAAATTCTTTTTTCTTTTCTTTTCTTTTCTTTTTTTTAGAGAAGGAGAGAAAGAGAGAACAAGTGAGTGAGTGCGGGGGTGGGGATGTGGGGAGTTGGGAGTGGGAGAGGGGCAGAGGGAGAGGGCGAGAGAATCTTAAGCAGACTCCCCACTGAATGCGGAGCTGGACCCAGGGCTCAATCTCATGACCCTGAGATCATGACCTGAGCCAAAATCAAGAGTCCAATGCTTAACTGGCTGAGCCACCCAGGAACCCCAGTGAAAATTGTTTTCTGATCACATCAGATTACATTACAGCAACATAAGCAGGGTCAGGAGCCTCTGGTAACATGCAATTTCTTGAACTACATAGTATTTATGAAAGGATGTTTATTTTGGGACATTTTGTGGGCTATACGTTTATGATTTATGAAAGAGTTGGTAGGTAAATAAATATTCTTTTTATATTCTTTCTATCTTGCATATGTTCTACCTCTATATAGAAAGGGAGTAGAAATAATAATTTTTTACTTATTTTTATTTACAATGAAGAGTTCGTTATGTTTTCATCATTTAAAATTAAATTTAAAAAGCTAAAGAAAAATAAAATCATTGAAAATTTTTAAAATATATAGATACCTAAGCCCCATCCACCTCTCCAGGGATTCTAATTTAATCGGTCTGAGGTAGAGCCCGGCAATCCATACTTGGAAAAACTTCCAATGTGCAGAGTTATAATTCACTCTTCTAAAAGTTAAATGGCTAGTTTCAGAGCAAATTAACACCTTCTTGCAGTCAAGTGGTAAGTCTTAGGTTTCACTGGCAGTAAAATAATCTTTAAATCCTCCAAGGCTTCCAACTGTAAGTAAGCCCCGAGGGCAGTAAAGGCTGCTTCTCCTTCGGGCTGGGAGAACTCCAGGACCAGATTGGACAGTGTGTAGGGCTCCAGATTTGCCATTCACATGACTCAGATTTCTCGTTTCTCCACTCCTGTCAGGTGTACCTGTTGCTGCTACCGTGGGTTCAAGCTCAGCCACCGCCTCAGAGCCATTCAGAAAGTGAAGAGGAGGAGTATCTAAGGACTCCAGTCACTGAAACACTAAGTATCCAGCTTTTCCTTGCTGTTATGGACCCATGCTCGTTACATAGATTACAGACCTACAAATGAACACTTTGTTCCTGGCTCTGTGCTGACCAGACCCTTCCACTGGGTCCCTGATCTTTGCTCACAACCTTCCCCAGCCTGTAGGACCTCTAGCACTTCTAGAGCTATAATGCTGGCTTTAGCCTAGGTTCTTAGGTACCACCCCTGTCCTGCTTGTGATAGGGAATTTGCTGATATTTTTGCTATCCATTCTAATACCAGGCCTGGGCAGCCCCAAGCTGGCCTGTCCTGACACTGAAGAATTGTCTTATAATCTTTGAAATGTTGTCATAAAAGTGTTTGATTGGGGCACCTGGGTGGCTCAGTCAGTTGAGCGTCCAATTCTTGGTTTCGGCTCAGGTTATGATCTCAGGGTCGTTAGATTGAGCCCCGCGTCGGGCTCCGCAGTCAGTGTGGAGTCTGCTTGAGATTCTCTCTCTCCTGCCTCTGCCCCTCCCCCTGCTTGCATGCTCTCTCTCTCAAGATAAATAAAATCTTAAAAAAAAAAAAAAAGGTGTTTGATTGGTACCAAGAAGTTTGCAGTTCCTTAAATAGTGATCCAAATTATACATGTCTTCAAAAGAAGTTACAGTGTTCCATTATATTAAAAAAATGTGTGCACTTCCATCTGACACTTGATTATTCAGTCACTCTTAAGGACATCTTCCCTGTTGACCTACACCACTACATCTACTTGCCATAGATAGGAGAAGCACTTTAAAAGAAAACTAGCTGTCTTCTCAGAGCTAGCCTTACAAATCTAGGAAGTGATGCTTCATGCCAGCTCTTGATCTCTCATGTGTGACCAGAAGGGCACCAAATAGGCATATTTCCAGGGGACACAATGCCTGACACTTCATTGCGTTGGGTGTCCTCCTTTCTATTTCCTGTTATACCTGGCAGAGAGGAACACGAGCCTCCGTGCCTTTTCCCAGTATGGAAATCTCCTGCAATCATCCAGTTAGCCTCATTTCCCTGCAACTGTTTGTTCCATTTATATAAAAGGTGTGTTTGGGTCAGGATGCTTCTGCCGCATGACCAGAAACTGCGCAATGTTTGTATGCACGGAGCGTAATACAGGAAAGAAATACAATGTATGATAGCCAATTTGACGTATGTTTGAAATAGAATATTTATGGGTTGTTATTTCACTTTGGGATACTTAGATCATTTCTGCCTCTTAAAATAACCAGCATTTGTTGGTGATTAACATAACAATAAAATTTTTTTTAAAAAAGAACCAGCATTTGTTTTGTAGTTCTGAAACCCAAGAATGCATAGAGTCCTCATGGAG